AGGAAATCCATAATGGAAGACCATCTTACTCGTCCAACGAGGGATCGCCTAAGTAAGTAAGTAAGTACTGCTGTGTGAGTGTAGTCCTGATACTAAATGGCTGGATCCTGACTAGTCCCTACATAAATTAGCCCTGCCAGTAAAATAACACTGTGTTTTTGTTTTATGGCTTCTCTTTAAGCACATTATATTGCCAAGATGGCATTCCTTCCTAGTTCACATCCTTTCTTTGAACTTTCCCAGCATAGTCCCTCACCTCCCTCCTTTCAGCATAAAATGCTTGATTGACTAACATGATTGTCCTCTCACAGTTAAAGCCCTAACAAACTATTTCCAACTGCTTCTTAGCTAGCTGGTTGCTTCACCATCTTGAACAGTCAAGATTGTTTTTTCTCCTTGAGGAGAAGTGCAAGTAGTTCTCCTCAACTACTTGCACTTCAACCTCCCTTCATAAAATTTCTTGGTCTGTGATTGGTCAACCCACTCAAAGCCAAGCTCCAGACCTCTCTGTCCCAGGCCACAGATATAATAATGCCCATTAAGCTGCAGAAAATAACCAAGTAGGCATCAGGCACAAAGTTGCAGTGATGTGCTTACCTAAATGGAATCCAAGATGGCTTGCATGCTTTACATAACAACATCTCCAGCCCAAATAGATTTGGAAGGGATGGTTTGGAAGGGATGGTTGACTTGTGGGTCTATTTTGTAATATAATGGTAATATAATAGGATGAAGACTATGTGTTTTGCTATTTCTCCAGGCAGTAAACCGTATCTAAATTCAATGCTGCATGCAGTGGGTTCATTCCTTCATAGACTTGTATTAGAGCAGACCGTTCAGAGGCAGTTAATGTTTTTCATATTTGCACTCAACACCAGAACCAAAATCAAATTAGTCATGTTGTAATTATGCTTCCAGGAAGAAAAACGCCTCAAGGAAATAGAAGAACAAAAGAAACTTCTGGAACAGAGAGCACAATATGTAGAAAAGACCAAAAATATTCTGATGTTCACTGGGGAAGTTGAAGGATCAAAAGAGAAAAAACGTAGCGGAGCTGGCCGGGTATGGAATAATAATGTTTATGAATTTCTGTTTTCCAGATTGTTCCCATGTGGTGACAGAATATGACTTACTTTAAGATAAGAGTTCGGGAAATAATGTATAGACTATGGTAAAATAATGTCTGAATTTGGTACTGAAGATCAGATGCCAAAGAGCTGTTTGAGTTAGCCTTTTATTTATTTACCAGTAGTTTGAAATCACATTATCCAACTTCACAAAACTAGTCAGTATGCAAGAATAATCACAATTAAGTGAAAGCTTGTAAGAACAAGTACATTTTCAATAGGTGTTGAAAACTTGGAAGTGATTATCTAATTCAGGCATCCTCAAACTGGCCCTCCAGCTGTTTGGGCCTTCAGCTCCCAGAATTCCTGACAATTGAACAAGCTTGTTAGGGCTTCTTGGAGTTGGAGGCCTGAACATCTGGAGGGCTGCAGTTTGAGGATGTGTGATCTAATTTATAATTTGCAAATTCTTTACATGTTCCAGAGTATGAGTACTGTGACATTTAAGGCCCTAGTCTGGGCTCCCATATGATTTTTTAGAATAGTTTCCAATGAGTGCCATAGGCAGACTGAAGTTGAATGATGGTGTTATTTTGGTCCCCTATTAACCAAGCTAGGAATGCAAGGTCATATTTTATCATTTCTTACATCTTCTGTTTTCCATTGTCTTCATAATAATGAAGTTTCCTGATTGTATTATTGTTTCTTCCAATCTCCATCTCTCTCTCTCTCTCTCTCCCATTCTTTTCCTTTTTCCCTCCGTCCCTCCTTTCCTCTCCCATTCTGTCTCTTCAGTTATTTCCTTAGCTCTTCTTGTCTTTCTTACACCTTTATCTCCTACTTTATCAATATTTTTCTCAAATTGTTGCATTTTAATTTGCCATTATAAGTCTTTTCTTTGAGTTATTTTTATTTCAGTTTTGTAAATATGAAATTAAATTTCTTAAAATAGAATTCATGAAACATGAAGTATGTCAGGTTTGACCTTTAAGTTGATAGATATGTTCTAAAATGGTTTGTATGTTTTGGAGGATCACTTACTGCCACAAATAATAGGGGTTTCTGATTTTGTGATAGCGTTCCAGGAAAACCGGTGAATTTGAAGAGTTTGTCAATGATGACAGTGATGACGATCTTCCGGTGTCTCGAAAGAAAAAGAGAAGGAAGGGCAGTGGCAGTGAACAAGATGGTGAGGAAGAAGATGGGGAGAAGAAGAAGAAGAAGCGACGAAGGCAAGTCCATTGCTTTGCCATTATAAAAACCTTGGTGAGGATTCATGGAGATTTTGTGAACACACTCTGGTTTCAGAGTCCCCTCTTTCCATAGGGAGTCCTTATCATTGCTTGATACATAATCCATCAAACTTGGGGAAACCTTCTGAAATTTGTTTTTGATAGAAGTGAACCAAAAGTATTTTGATGCCTGCTCATCAAAGCATTTGGAGCCCTCAGTTGGCAGCACTGAAGACCGACAGGTCAGAGGTTCGAATCCGGGGAGAGCATGGATGAGCTCTCTCTGTCAGCTCCAACTCCCCATGCAGGAACATGAGAGAATCCTCCCAAAAGGATGGTAAAACATCAAAATATCTGGGTGTCCCCTGGGCAACGTCCCCTGGGCAACGTCCTTGCAGACGGCCAATTCTCTCACACCAGAAGCGACTTACAGTTTCTTAAATCACTCCTGACACGGAAAAAAAAAATCAAAGCATTTGTGCCAGCATGGGAATGTATCTAGTGATGAATTGCAGCCTCTTATGGAAATTCTCAGTCACACTGTTTAGATTCATCTAGATCAGTGGTTCCCAACCTTTTTTGAGCAAGGGCCACTTTGACCAGGGACCACTCTCCCAACAAAAGGATTATGAATCAGTTTTTGGACAACTTTAGATTTTGTTTGGTTATTTGGGGTGCTGATTCAGAAAACCGCATTGTATAGACCTCATCAGATCTAGTTTCTGATACAGAACATATGCCATCCAGTAGTCACCATCTGCTTGCCCACTAAAAACCATATATAATAAACTAGAGGTGATGTGGTCAATCCAATGCAATTTTCTGAATAAGCACCCCAAATAACCCCAGGAACAGGCCTAAAAATGAAGACACCAATAAAAAAAAATTGGTTGGGCTGTTTTATTATCTGTGGATTTTGTTAATGCTTGTGTAAAAAAAAAATGTGAGGGAGAGGGCTGAGGTTGAAAAAAATACAAAAAAATACAAAAAGTGGAGCACAAGACCCAAGAAACTGTCCCATTACAGCTGATGTGTGGGAATGGGAGCTAATAATAATAATAATAATAATAATAATAATTGGCTGCGGACCTTATTTTAGGTGGGCAATGGCCCACGGGTTGGGAATTACTGATCTTGAGCTACTAGATACTTAAAATATTTTAAGGAACAAGGAATAAAAAGGATGTTAAGTTTAGCATCCCTTATCCAGAATTCTGAAATCCAAAACTGAGATAAGTGATACCTTTGTTTCTTTGTTGTTCAGCATACACAAACTTTGTTTCATGCTCAAAATTATTAAAAATATTATTATACATTTGCCTTTAGGCTATGTGTATAAAGTATATATGAAACATACATGAATTTCTTGTTTAGACATGGTGTCCCATCTTCAAGATACTTCATTATGCAAACACAAGCATTCCCAAATCGCAAACACATCTTCTGGCTCTAAGCATTTTGGATAGGAGCTACTAAACCTGTAATTTGATTCAGATGCAGTTAATTGGGGCACTCTCAATTGAATTGTTGGATATCTGTGTATTCTTTTCCAAAGAGCCCAGAAGGCAGATGATGGTACTGAGGATGATGACAATGAGACTACACCAAGGCCTAAAAAACGCCGCCCAGCCAAGACTGAGAAGAGAAAGGTATTTCTGTTGAGTGGTGTTATATTTGTCTAGGGTTGAAGGCAGTAAAATGAAGTGTGCTGCAAAACTTTGGAAATATTGATTAGTACATAACAAATATCCATATTTGGACCAAACTGGAAGCTCCAGCATTTTGCCCACAAGCTATTCTGATTCCTGGGTTGCTGTGAGTTTTGTGGGATGTAGGTCCATGTTCCAGTAGCAATATTTCCTGATGTTTCACCTGCATCTGTGGGTAGCATCCTCAGAAGTTTGTTCAGAGCTCTGTTGGAAATGGGGCAAGTGGGGGTCTATATATATTTGTGGACTGTCCAGCGTGGGGGACAGTGGGAAAAGCTCCCAGGAACACAGTGATTCCGGCTATGAAAGCCTTCAACAACACACATTCTGATTCCTTCCCCTCCTATGGAAAGGAAAGGTGAGGGGAAAACATGAGCCTCACCTTTCAACAACATGGATTCTTATTGCAGTTGGCTTTGCAAGGATGTATCCATAGTTCCTGAGGTCATGGATATAACATATTGAAGTTTGTCTCTGTTGATGCTGAGCAAACAAATTAGAAGAAGCTGATAATCAGACATTATTAGTCCACGTCCATCCAACAGTTGGAGTTCATCACCATTCCAATAAGGCAGCTGTAGTTAAAAAGTAAAATATTCAATCACACAGTAGCTGAAAGTACAATTTTATTTATCATTCTCTTAATACTTTTTTTTCTAGCCCAAGCCAGAACGCTTGCCTCCTTCAATGAAGGGGAAAATAAAATCAAAAGCTATCATTTCATCGAGCGATGACTCATCAGATGAAGATAAACTCAAAATTGCTGATGATGGGTATGTATACAGTATATATCACTTGGAAGTAAGGGGCCATTTAATTTTTCAAAAATGTAATTGTTTGCACATAAAAATTGTATATTTCAACTTTTGTTTGCAAAAATTGAAATATACAATTTTCAATTATAAACACATACTTCTGCATTCTGTGCAGTCTTGTTAATGAATGTTATTTGTGTTATATTTCATTTATTTTGTTATGTCACTTAGAACATTTGTTGAGAAACTCTTATCCTTTAAAACTGGTGAGACTTTGGACTGCAGTTTCCATTAACTCTACCCAGCATGGTTATTATTAAGGGATTATGTGGTCTGATGTTCACAATATCTGAAGGGTCAAAGGTTCCTTATTTGAGAGCCTGCCTCTATTTTTCTGTTTTCTGTGGACACTTAATAGAATTCAGAACAAGAGAAGACCCATCAAATCAGTTGAACTTAAGTCTGAAACCAGTTTTTCAGCAGCAGATTCCATCTCTTCCACCTTGTTTTGCCCCATGGGGATGTGGTTTGGAGGTATCAGTGCCTTTTTGTTGTGAGTTCTTAATTGGCTACAGATAAACATTATTTAATGTACTTGTTTCTTCATTTAGTGGATGCCCAGCCTTCCTGCGGGCATGATACCCAAGAGGGCTTACAGTTTAAAGTTAAACAAAATAAGTTAAAGCAATATGTTGCCAAAGACTACAAAGCTATTAAATGGGTAGTCCACATTAAAGGGCTTAAAGGTTTAGCATATATATGAAACATAAGATCCAGGTTCAGGAGTCTCCATTAAAATACCCCTTCTGGTACACCTGTTCAAATATAAAGGTCTTTGTCTGCTTATGAAAAAAGATTGGGTTCAGGAGTGAAGCTAGGTCTTTGAAGATCTTAAAGTTTGGCCAGGCCTATATAAGGATACGTTTTTTTCACATAGTCTGTGCACAAGGTGATTAGGGCTTTATAGGCCACAATCAGCATATTGAAACTACCTGGAAATGTACCATTAGAAAGTGAAACGGTTTCATCAAGGGAGTTCCCAGTTCCTGACCAGAAGTCTGACAACAGCTTTTTTGGGACTGGCTGAAATTTCTGGACATTTTTCAAAGGCAGCCTGCGTATAGTGTGCTGCAGTAATCCAAATGGGATATCTGTCATGTGTTACTGTGAGCAGTTTAACCATACTACAGAATTAGAGGGGTTTGCTATCACTTTCATTGTTATCTCTGTACCTGAGATTTATAGTTTGAGGAATTGTGCATAGAATTATTTAGCATACTCTCATGAACAGCAGACCATGAATTTGAAAAGACCTCACAAAATTAGGATTTCATCTGGTTGAACCATGACAATTAGTGGTGTCAAACCATCTGGTATAAAATTAAAATATAGCTAAACTCTAGGTAAGCTATCTTTTCTGCAATGTTTTGTTCACAGTTTTTTTGTATTATTCTATTTTTTATCAGAAATGCCAGGAACAGCAACAGCGATTCTGATAATGCAGAGGCACGCAACAAGCGGGCCATGTCAGACAGTGATTCGGACAATAGTAACCGGTCGGGCAGTGAGAGGGGCAGCCCTAGGCGGCCGCCCGCCCATCCTTCGGATGAGGACTCAGACAGCGATGGGTCACCGAGGAAGAGGAGGCGGTCTGACTCGGATCAATCTGACAATGATTCTGTGCAGTCAGGGAGAAGCCCCTCCGTGAGATCTGGAAGAAGCCCGTCTGTGCAGTCTGGAAGAAGCCACTCTGGAGGTTCTGAGAATGAGTCTCGTCCAGCTTCTCGCAGTGTGGATTCTGACCGAGATTCAGAGAGAGCATCTGATAATGAGGGTTCAGTTAATGAGTCTGAGCCAGAGGCATCCAACAATGAAGCATCTGAAAAAGGATCTTATGCTGGATCAGATGACAGTGATTAGATTTCAACTGTGGCCTCTCAATTTTTTAAATATAACATTTTTGTAAATATATTTTGGTTTGAGAGAGTTTGGGGGAAGATAAAGATGTCCATCTTTTATATTTGAAAACTGATTTAAAAACATGCACAACTATGTTTTAGGGGAAAATATTTAAAGAAAGTTGAAACATTTCCTATAGCATTTTTTCTACATTATTGTACACTTGCTAGATGGTAGTATCCCTTTAGAATACAGCATCCATTTCAGTTTGGTGCTAAGATCTGAAGAGTTGATGCCCATATAGTAATCCTGCATCTGGGTATGCTTTGAGTGCCTATGAAATACATAGCATTTCAGCATATTTAACTGGATGGAAGATTATAGCCCTTTCTGTCTTTCCTTGTCTAATCAACAGTGTTTTTTTTAACTTGGAAAAGGGTACAGGAATTCCTGAAAGTGTAGAATGTTTGGGTTTACAGAGCTGTCCTTCTGACTATGTTGGTTCCTACGAAATACATTTTTACGTTCTGTTTAAAATTCATAAGTGCTGTAGAAAATTCCTTAAAATTGAAATAAAACGTATAAAATATAATACTACAGGAATGTAGATAAATGTTGGATTATGACTTCTCAGAAAAGATTTTCCTATGGCATCTAATAAAAATTGTGGCTACCATCTGGTTTGAGTTTATTTTATTGCAGATTTTACAGTGATATCCTATACATTCCTTCTTTGAAGTAAGCTATATTAGTTTGTCTTAGCGAAAATCTCATGACCCCCATTTTGATTCTAAGGTGTTTTGGAAAAGTTGTAAGGCCAGTGTCAAAACCATTATAGAGCTCCAAAAAGGTTGTCAGTTTTTGTCAAGTTATTTGCCCATTCACGCTAGTGGGAACCGGAATGGGACTTCTCTCCCCTCCTCAGTTTTAGGACTATCGTAATGAAATTTGTTACAGTTGTAGCACACATCTACCACTCTAAGGCCTACCAAATTTCAGAACGTTTCACACATCCACTGGTTTTGGGGAATTTTAAAAAGTTTTGATAAACCTTTGTAATAAATCACTACAAGAGTTACCTCTTTTTCTTTTTTTTTCTTTATTTTTAGATGTTGAACATTTTAAATACATTTAAATACTCAAAATCTCTACATTTTCAACACAAGAGTACTCATAGCATGCTGTCTCAGTTATAATGAAATAATCTTTAGTCATTTTTTCTGTCCTGAGCAAAAAGAGAATAGATAGATATTTCTGTAACCTCACAGTATAAAAGTAAATCTCCCTCTGAGTAAGTAATTAGTTCTTATTTAAAAATAAGTTAAACATGACAAGCAAAGTAAAGCACTTCCAAATCTCGATCTTAGATTTAAATCTGAAAGCGCTCTCTTTGAATTATCTATATAATGATGCAACATAAGGAGGGCATCATTTATTTCAGAGAAATTTGCACATCTACTGCTTTTAGGGAATTTTAGCCAACATAAACTTAGCAGTACTATTTCCCTGGAAGACTCCAGAGGCCATCCAGTCCAGCCCCCTTCTGCCAGGCAGGAAAAGCACAGTCAAAGCACCCCCAACAGATGCCCATCTGACCTTGATAATAATAATAATAATAATAATAATAATAATAGTAATAATAAACACTTGTGAAATGTCCAACGTGTGACCCAATACAACAGCCTGCTGAGTGTCTGCTGTGGACTCATCCTGTGGTGTTTCAAATAATTTTTTTGTCATGTCAGGAGCGACTTGAGAGACTGCAAGTCGCTTCTGGTGTGAGAAAATTGACCGTCTGCCAGGACGTTGCCCAGGGGACGCCCAGATGATTTGATGTTTTTATCCTTCTGGGAGACTTCTCTCATGTTCCCGCATGAGGAGCTGGAGCTGATAGAGGGAGCTCATCCGCATCTCCCTGGATTTGAACCTGCGACCTGTCGGTCTTCAGTCCTGCCAGTACAGGGGTTTAACCCACTGTGCCACTGGGGGCTCAATAATAATAATAATAATAATAATAATAATAATAATAATAATAATAATAATAAACATACTAGGTAAACTTTGTAGTTACTGCCTTTCAAGTTTGCCTACCTCACAGAGTTGATTGAACTGCCAACAATCCCCCTTTAACTCAGAATCCCTTGACAGAATGGACACAAGTTCCCCCCCAACAAAACTTTCAGGGAGGAGGAGGGCACACAAGGCGGTAAGCAGAATTCTGGAAAATGTAGTTTGGTAAGGCAAGGACCCCCTGTGGTAGAGAATTCAAAAGGCCCCACCCTCAACTACATTTCCCAGAATTCTGCTCACTTCAGAATTCCAGGATTGCCTGTTTTCAAACTACGATGTGATGGTCTCTGTCTGTCTCTTTCTGGTCTGGCCATGTGCTGGAGGGGCATCCTTCCCTTCCTGCCTCCCCGCCTTGCCATCCTCTTTGGGGAAAGAGCAGGGGTTCTGTCTTGACTCCGGGCCTCACCATCCTCCTCACAGCCCTTTGGGGGAACCAAACCAAGCCCTTTTGGGGAAGAAGTGGCACCCACAACGGAGACCTGGAGCCACTTATAAGAGTTGCATAATGAGATGAGAAAGGAGCCCTGGAAGCCCCCTCTCTGCACAATTACGTAACGAAAATTTGTTACTCTTGTTATAGTAATGAAACAGACACTTATGGTATTCTAGGAACCCTTTAGAAATGACTTGCCGACACCCTCTAATTTTGTAATGAGTATTGAATTTTTTTTTCATCGATCGCACAGGCCTACTAAAAACCAAGACTCTTTTTATAAAAAATGGTGTGTGTGTTATAGATTAACTATAAGAAATATATAGGTGCCTTACAAACTCCTTATGAAACAAATTTAGCCTTCCTAAAGTGCAATGTCCATCTTCAACATGCTTGCATAATTGTACTAAACCTTTTCTAAAGTTATTGATTATTTTGATTTATGAACAAATGCTAGCACTTGCTAATTTGAGGTGTGAGAATTGGAAAAATATTTGGTCCTGCTGACATACATGAAATGTATTTTGGTATGATCTTGTCACATACAGTTCCCACCTACATATTGCAAATATCTTGACTGAAAATGAGTTGTTAGCAGAGCTGAATAATACTTGTGTGGGAAAGATGATCCATTCTATTTTCAAACGCCCAACTCTCCTTTTATGATTCATGATTTTCCAACTTACTACAAACAGAACAGAAACATGGGGATGTGATTTGAGTTCGGAGAGAAATTCCTAAATGCTCATTTAAAGGTGTATGGAATAACAGCCTTGTATTCCATGTGTCCTTGTATTCCATGTGTCCTTTCAAACAATAGGGTTCCTCTAAAATTTGCATTATGTGCTGAGTTGGGTTTATAACCTTCTGTAGGGCTAATCTATAGAATATGTGTGTGTGGGGGGGGGGGTGGACTCTGAGACAGGACTGATTTTTAGGAGTAAAAGAGTAATAGCAAATGGGGCTATTTAAGAGATCTAAGAACATATTGTTAAACCTCATGTGCTCAGGCTCTCAGAATATTCTGAATATCTCTGCCTAATAAATATGCCCCATCCATTTGGATATCTATGTGCCTCCAAATCACCTGTGGATGTACAGCAACCCCATGAATTTCATAGGGATATTTAAGGGAAGGAATACTCAGATGTGGTTTTCACAGTTCTTTCCTCTGAAATACAGCCTACAGCACCTGGTATTGGTTGGTGTTTTGCAATCCAAGATTCAACCAAGGTTGATCCTGCCAACCTTCCAAGATCAGACGATTCTTTACTCTTAATTAGCAGTACTGTCTAATACAGGGGTCCTCAAACTTTTTCAGCCATGGAGCCTTTTTAAAGCAAAAGTTTCTTGTTAAGTTCCAAGAAATATTTATATATTATATAATAATATATAATATAATAATGATGATGATGATGATGATGATGATGATGATGATGATGATGATGATGATGATGATGATAGCAGAATCGCCAGGGGCTATCCAGTCCAACCTTTTTCTGCCCCCTGAGCAGTGGGAGGGAAATAGGGCTTTGGAAGCAAAAAAAAAAGGTGCAAGGGAAAGGATCTGGGAGATAAGGACAAATGGTTTTTGAAGGTGAGGGAGGCAGGGGGAGGGGGAGATTTTGGCCTGCATCAATAGGAGTATAGTGTATAGATCCAGGGACACTACCCCTTTATTCTACCTTGGTTAGACCACATCTGGAATACTGTGTCCAATTCTGGGCACCACAATTGAAGGGAGATGTTGACAAGCTGGAATGTGTCCAGAGGAGAGTGATTAAAATAATCAAGTGTCTTGAGAACAAGCCCTATGAGGAACGGCTTAAAGAGCTGGGCATGTTTGGTCTGAAGAAGAGAAGGCTGAGAAGAGACATGATAGCCATGTATAAATATGTGAGAGGAAGTCATAGGGAGGAGGGAGCAAGCTTGTTTTCTGCTGCCCTGGAGACTAGGACATGGAACAATGGCTTCAAACTATAAGAAAGGAGATTCCATGTGGGCATTAGGAAGACTGTTCTGACTGTGACAGCTGTTTAGCAGTGGAACTCTCTGCCCTGGAGTGTGGTGGAGGCTCCTTCTTTGGAGGCTTTTAAACAGAGGCTGGATGGCCATCTGTCGGGGGTGCTCTGAATGCAATTTACCTGCTTCTTGGCAGAATGGGGTTGGATGGGATGGTCCATAAGGTCTCTTCCAACTCTATGATTCTATGATTCTTGGAGGGAAAGCTTGGAGGAGGAGGAGGAGGAGGAGGAGAGAGGAGGGAAAGCTTGAAAGGGGAAGGAGGAGGAAACAGCGGAGCCCCGTGGAGCACACTTTGAGAACCACTGGTCAAATGGAAAAGCTCAGTTCCTTGGCCAGACCTACAGCAGGGATATGATGATTCTTTACAAACTATGGCACATTTAGAAGCTGTTCTGCACCTTCCCCAAATTAACTGGAATCCTCTAGAACAGAATGCATAATTTGGCAGGAGCCCTTCTCTTTCCACTCCTTGCCTCCCACCTATTCCCTGAGTTCCTTTTCGACTGAAATGCCAGCAGCTAGAATTAGAACCTTCTGGTAGCCTTAGCAGTTATTCAGAGCTTTTCCATATCAACTTTTTATACTTCTTTCTTTGTGCATCTTTCTCATTCACCACTACATTTTCCAAAACTGCAAAATAAATCATCATCTCTGTCAGGCTTTGCAAAGTTGGTTTATGCCATATTCTGTTGTCATCATAGTTGTATATTAAGAACATATGCAAATCAAATCAAAGGCCTGCCGTGTCTTGCAATCTTTCCATGTATTGTTCCATGTTTGTAGTGCACTGTCCTTCCCAGCAAGCAGTTAATAACAATTGTATTGATATTTCTGTTTTGAAGGCTGAAGACTTTTGCACAGTAGATGGGCAGGGATTATATTTTGCTCAAAATGGTATACATACCAGTAATAAGCTTTAGACCCCTGAACCCATGCCATTTAAATAGTGCTGCCATGAGGGGATAAGAGGACTTACCAAATTTTCCTGATGCTGCTGCTGTATAAAGGTTAGACAGAACACTGGCATATTGACAATAATGTTTCTAGCATTGGCCAGTATTCAGAAGGATGATTCTTCTGAAGGAATTTCTTCTGTCAGTGTAACTGCAAGTGGACACATTCCCCTGCATTGAAATCACCAATGGACC